TATATTTCATATGTACATATATACATATGTATGTGTATATATGTATGAATATAGTCTTCTGTAATTATATGTTAATTTAATTAAGAAAATAATTTAGAGTAACAAGAAAAATAATTTAGAATTATAAGAAAAATTATTTTGCTTAATACAAATTAAGCTATTTTCTTAAGCCAAACTAACCCTACTTGTCTTAAGCAAAAATATTCATGGAATTATGAGCTTTGCATGCTACTTTACTTATTTTATTTAGGACATTGAATATATGTACAATTATTAAAAATAAAATGGCCAGGCATCAGTGGTTCACACCTGTAAGGCTTCTTGGGAGGCTCACATCTGAGGATCATGGTTCAAAACTAGCCCAGGCAGAAAAGTCAATGAGACTCTTATCTCCAACAAACTACTCCAAAAAACCCAGAAGTGGCTCAAGTGGTAGAGTACCAGCCTAGAGCAAAAGGAGCTCAGGGATAGTAGCTAGGCCCAGAGTTCAAGCCTTAGGACCAGAACAAAAATAAAAATAAAAATGTTTTCCTATGTCATCTCACAAATTGCAGATGGCTGAAAAGTGCTGTGGGGTGATTCTGACCTGGAATATCAGAGTTTATCCAGTCATGGCTTAGATAATAGACTGGGAGAATATTTATGGTCCAGTTATGACTTAAAATTATAGATAAGAAAGTAGGAGCCTGCAATGAGACCAGAGTTAACAGAGCTATTTATGGTAGAGCAGCACTCAAAGCACAAAGCTGCTTTCTCTCCTGTGATCACCTCCTCTACAGGCTAAAGGAAAAGTTGTTTGTACTTTCTGTTCACAGGCTTAATGCTGTTCAACAGTCTATCACCAATTATCTTCCTCTTGTTCAATCAGCTCTCCTCTACTTCAGTCTATTGTGGACATTAGACACTTCATGCAAAATCTTCACTAATTTCGCTAATTTCCCACTTAATCAGTAGATGTCTCCTCAAAGTAGAATCCAGAAAATTGCCCCTTCTAGGTTTTTTTGTAGTGCAACTGAGATGAGGGATAGGAGACTTATTTTTGGCCAATCTCAAGTGCTGTACACGAATGGGATTGGAGGGGAACATGTGAGGAGGCTATGGTCCACAGGGAAAGCCAGATTATGACAAGGCTTTTGAGGTTCAGAGCCTTGGCTATGACAGAGGTACTGGTTATCTGATGCTGAAAGTGCTGGTTGCAGAGCTGGGAAACAGCAGGGCTTAGCAGCAGAAACTCACAGCTGCTATGCATGGTTCCTGGGTGTGAGTATGCTCCTTCCGCTGTTCCACCAAGGCTTCCTTCTCACTAATCCTTAAGAAACCTCTTCCTTTGTCTTAAATTAGAATAGAATCTAATTGAAAAATAAGTTTAGCCAGTAATTTTTTTCTTTGTTTTCTGGTATTAGGAATTGAACCAAGGCCGCAAGAATGTAAGGCAAGAGCTCTACCACTCAAACCATGCCCACAGCCCCATCCAGTACCTCAGAATAGCATAGGATTCTATAGACATTCCTCATGCAATCTGAAACTCAGTTTGCAAATAAGATATGTGACTGTCAAAGTAGAAGTTGCCCAGTTCAGAGAGACAAATGGTGCATGACCTAATATACACTGAAACATGATAAATTATACTAGACTCCAGGCATTCACACATAGTAACACCAGAGGAGGATACTTTCAGGAGAGGAACATAAAGGCACAATGACTATGTGCATCTGATCATCTAAAATAATATTTCTCAAAATGAACTCCAGGAAATGGAAACAAGAGGTGTTTGTTTGGCTTGGTTTGGTTTGGTTTTTGTTGGTCCAAGGCTTGAACTAGGCCTGGACACTGTCCCTGGGCTCTTTTGCTCAAGGCCAGTGTGCTTTGCACCACAGAGCCACTTTCAGTTTTCTGGTGGTTAATTGGAGATAAGAGAGTCACAGACTTTCCTTCCTGGACTGGTTTTGAACCACAATCCTCAGCTCTCAGCCTTTGTTTTAGGATTAGAGATGTGAACCAGCAACACCTGGCTAAGAGGTTTTCCCTTCTTTGCTGTTTTTGTTTTCTTTATTTTTGTCTTGTTTGTTTATCTGTCTTTGGGAGGGTAATGGGGGTCACAGAAATGGTGGGACAAAGGGTGAAAAAATGCATCCATGGTACTCACTAGACACTATATTGAAAATGAACTATATATCATGTGGATGGGGACAGGAGGCAAAAACTGGAAGAGAGTGAGAGAAGGGGCGTACATTGCTCCAAAAGAAATGCACTCATTGCCTGACTTATGGAACTGTAACCCCTTTGTACATCACCTTTATAATAACAAGTAAAATTGTAAAATAAATAAAAAATAGAAAAAAAACGAAGCTGGCTGAGATCTGAGAACTCTTCCAGCAATAAAATTGCATGACTAATTATGAATCACAACTACTTTCAGATTGACTAATAAGAGTCTATTCAATTTCGGCAGTCTCATTAATCTTCATTATTTATTTACAAAAAAGTAGCGTCTAGGTACTCAACCTTTTAAAGTAAGGGGGTAGTAGTAAAGTTTGAACTCAGAGCCTTATGCTTAAGCATTTTGCCACCTGAACTACACCTCCAGCCCTCCCCTTCTTTTTTTCTTTTTAAATATATTTTCTTTAAGTAGTTGAACAAATGAGTTCAAGTCAACAGGTCAATTTTCCTTTTGGCTTACTTTCAGAGAAGGTACCACTTTTGCTTAAGGCCTTCTTCAGATTGTGACTGTTCTATCTGCCTTCTACATAGCTGGCATTAAAGGTATTCCTCACCACACCCAGTTTCTTTTTGAAATAGGGTCCCCTCAATAACATCATTTTTTTCTCCCTGGCCTACCCTGGAATGATAGGCTTCCCATCTCTATCTCTCTCATTGCTGGGATTACAGGTATGAGCTACTATAACTTCACCAAGAGCTTTGGATCTTCTAAGCCTCAGAACAACAGGAGAGAATGGATTCTGCTTACAGGCCTAACTAATCATTGTATAAGAATTCTCATGATGCAGTCCTGCCATATATAGAAAATATCCTACAATATACAGTATTCATAGGAGTTTCACACAGAATATTTATTCTTAAATACAGAACTTAACATGTTTTCAATAATAATAAAAATATTATTTATTTTAATTTTCAGGCTAAATAAGTTCAAAATCCAGAAACGCAGGACTAATTCTTCCTGCCATTTGTAGCCACCATTTAGTCACAACTGTTTGACTGTTGTGAGAGTATCTAGCTTTCCTTGTGTAAGCTGTGGCAGTTGTACAAAAAGGGCTTCAAGTTATGTCACATGCTAGCACCTCTAGCTTTGCTCAATGAGGTCTAGAAATGGTAATTTTTAAAGAGCCATTCATACTGAATTAGAGCCATCTAATCTAGCATCAAATGAATAAATGAGTATTTTTTTCTGTAACTCTGTGAGAGTTGAAGACATGAGACAAGTGGGAGGAAAGAATTAAATTGTGGAAAATCTGTTATGCCAGAAACTGGTGAAGGAAAGTGAGTCATAAAAACATAGCAAGAAAGAACAAGAGAGATAAAACCAGAAGAGAGAAATGATAGTATTTTTGGAAGCCGTGGAACAATCCAGGTTTGCTTTTAAATAGTAAAGCAATGAAGAGCCAGCTAGAATATCTTCACTTCCCACATATACCAGCTCCTACAACTTACTGAGGAGAAAGGACTAAGTTTTAAATAAACTGCCTACCTCAAAAAGACTGGGTGAAATATAAGGGCAGGATGCTTAGGCCTTAAAGAAGTAAGTCTTTTCAGGAAAAACCTCACTAGATTCCAACCACATGTTGAATCTCCAAAATTATGTCATAGTAATTCTGCAAGCCATAAAATTACTTCATTATTGTTATGAGTAGGTTTTGCTACTGATCTCTCTCTCCCCTTCTCCCACTCTCATACTTTCCCCCTCTCTCTGACCCACTCCCTCGCTCCATCTCCCCTTTCCCTCCCTCACCTCCTCCCCGTTGTCCCCTTCCCCTTCTCTCATCCTGGGGCTTGAACTCAGGCCTGTGCACTGTCCTTTTTCATTTTAGCTACTCAAGGCTAGCACTCTACCATTTGAGCCACAGCTCTACTTCCGGCTTTCTGGTGGTTAATGGGAGATAAGAGTCTCATGGACTTTATGGCCTATGCTGGCTTCAAACAGCAATCCTCAGATCTCAGCCTCTTGAGTTGCTAGGATTACAGGTGTAAGTCACTGACACTCAACTATCTCTTATTTTACAGGCATAAATTAGGTTGTAGGTTAAATATAGCTCCTAATAACATAAACAGTAAGAAATGATCAGGCAAAGTTTTCTAGTTCTAGCATTCTCAACAACAGGAAAGGGGGACTGGCAGAAATAATCACAACAGAGACACATGTGCCTCTATTTTCTCACAACTACCAACTGCCAGGTATAGGGCTCCATGTTTTATATATTTTATTTTGTTTCAGCTTTGCAACAGCTCTCACAACATAAGCCCGGATGGCACCAAGGGAGTGAGTGGCAAAGAGGAAATGCAAACTTGGGTTTGTTTGAGCCAAGAGACCCTCCTGGTGGGCATCCATGTGGCAGGGTTCCAACAGCAGTGACAATGTGTGGCCACACACAGAGCATGTGCTTTAGTTTGGGATTTACATTGGTTTCAAACATTAATTTACCCCTTGCATTTATAATAATCATCTCTCAATGATTTTTTTTAATCTTTCTACTGGTTAGAAGGACATTGAGAATGTCAACATAAAATACACTCAAGATATTAAATTGAGATGGCAGTGCTGAGGGCTTAAGCCCTATTATTCAATAATAGAAAGTTACATCTTTTCTTCAAACACATAAATGACACTTTGTTAAAACACGCACGCGCGCACACACACACACACACACAGCTTTGTAGTGACCTATGAGCACTCTTTTCCTTCCCTGCAAGGCCCACCCACTGATGACAGGCTGACAGGTGACAAGGGAATAGGATCTCTCCTGTTCAGGCAATTGACTCACCTTGGTGTCTGAGGCTGCTCCACTGGCATGAGCTCTGGAGGGGTGACTGCTTCCCAAGTTCGATGCTTTTTTCTTGAAAAAAAAATATTATCTCAGTGGGAGAAAACACCTTAACAACATAGACAAGTGCAACTTTTCTTATCAATACACATATCTTTTCCAACAAAACTCAACAATATTCTAAACACATTTAATTTTAAATTGCTTCTGTAGCTATGCCTGATGAGTACAGAAATATGAAATGGAAGGGGAATTTGCATAAATCCAAGTTGCTCAATATTCACTGACTTAGAAGAATTGTGAAACTCATTTGTGATTTCCCAGCATAAATTTCTTTTTCTTTCTTTCTTTCTTTTTTTTTTTTTTTTGTCGGTCGTGGGGCTTGAACTCTGGGCCTGGGCACTGTCCCTCAGCTCTTCAGCTCGGGGCAAGTGCTCTACCATTTCTGGTTTTCTAGTGGTTTACTGGAGATAAGAGTCTCATAGATGTTCCTGCCAGTCTGGCTTTGAACCGCAATCCTCAGATCTCAGCCTCCTGAGTAGCTAGGATTACAGGTGTGAGCCACCGGCACCGGGCTCCAGCATAAATTTCTTCTGGTAACACCACTCGCTGTGTGTGTGGTGGTGGGGAGGTCTTCTTTTTCACAGTTATATAGAGCATGGACAATAGTATACTCATGATGGAGGGTGATTTACCAGTGTATGCCAAAGATGTAATTCTACTTGTGAAATTTTACCCTGAGGAATGACAAGAAAAAAAGCCTTTTTTTATTCACACATATTTATTAAATATTAAAGTTCATCATGATATCTGAATGGCTATGAATCTTTGTTTATTATTTGATAGGCAATCATTCTATTAGAATATCAGAATTAAATACCTTAATAATAAAATCTATTAGAACACTATTTCGAGTCTTCTGTGTGCCATATTTAATGACATTTAAATCTTCACATTAACTAATACCAATCTTCCACTATTGTTATCCCCATGTTATAAGTGAGGGACTGGGGTAGAATGCATATGTAATGTGGGTGGCCCTGGTCACAGACAGTGAGAGACAAGAAGTCTGCTTCTGACTGCTCCATTATGTATTTATCCTCTCACAAAAGGGGAAGAGAGATAGCTTATGACATGGTGATGGTTCAATCAATGGAAGCATTTATTATTCATAATTTAAAGAAATAGAAATACAATGAAATACAGTGAAAGCAGGGGTTATACTGTGGGGGAGGGACATACAAAGCAACAAAGAAATAATCTTATAAAAGTGTTAGAAACAATTGTATGAAAGAAAAAAAACATTTGAATATATATCTTAGGGTTCATTTCCCTAACATCAACTTATCTGACCTTTTCTGCTTGATGTCAGTATAATTTGTGGAGGGGAAGGGGAAAAACAAATCGTTTAAATAGGGATACAGGTGGACCCATTGCAACAATGAGATGTACAAGTTGTTATGTCGAAAATGAACTTTACAACTTTGGTGGGGGGGCGGGGAGGATGGGAAGGGATGGGAAGGGGAAACAAAGGAGGAGGCTACAATGCTTGATAAGAAATGTACTCATGATCTTGCCCATGTAATTGTAACCCCTCTGTACAGGATTTTCACAATAAAAAAAGAAATAAAAAAGAAAGATAAGTCAGGGTTGAAATTAGACATTGCATGATCCCTGAAATATGTGTGTGTGTGTGTGTGTGTGTGTGTGTGTGTGTGTGTTTTCTACCAATGGGGTCAACAGATATTTACAAGGGAATCCTTCTCAGGCTCTTTCAAGTTTTCTTATATAACTGTATTAATTGAGAAAAGAAAGTAAATGATGAAGGGAAAGTAAAGTACATAGTTGCTGTCTCAAAAAGGCCTGTATACCAAAATCCCTTATTTTTTTTCTTTTTTTTGTCGGTCGTGGGGCTTGACCTCTGGGCTTGGGCACTATCCCTGCGCTCTTCAGCTCAAGGTGAGCACTCTACCGCTTGAGCCACAGTGCCACTCCTGCTTTATTGGAGATAAGAGTCTCACAGACTTTTCTGCCCAGACTGGCTTTGCACCACGATCCTCAGATTTCAGCCTCCTGAATAGCTAGGATTACAGGCGTGAGCCATTGGTGCCTCGCCTCTAAATCCCTTACTCTTAAGTATCTATGTTCCAAAGAAGCAGACAAATACTGGCCTCTAAATCCCCCACTTTTAAGTATCTATTTTCCAAAGAAGCAGACAAATGACTCTGCATGGGAAGAAAACACTGGAAACACTGACTACATGAGGATGGTTATACATTAGCTGATAAATGCTCTATATCTGTGCAGTGAGAAGTTTGTATGTATAACTGAGAATCACTTGGCTTAACTGTTTTAACATTTAGAAAATACTTAGCCAAACTAAAATTCCTAATTTTTTTAAAGTGTCTCCCATAGAAGCCTGAAGAGAAGTATTCACTTTTTTAGGTAAATATTGCCCCAGCAAAAAACAAAATCTAAATTAGTTTGCTGTCCTCACAGTATAATATCTATGTGTCTACCAGTTGACAAATTCTATAGTTCTTTATGAAGATTACTGGGGTGGTATGTCTTTATAAAGTGGAATCTAGGGGCCAGAGAGAAATTTTTCAGGAGTGACAAGCTAGGCATTGATTGTAGAATAAACACACTCCCAAGAATATGGCACTACTATCAACCAAGGAAGAAAAGTTCTAGATGACTGAAATAGAAAGAAGAGTTACTAAAAAGCTATCAATGTGAAAAAATGGTGAAAAGAGGACGTGGCTTAAATAAAATCCAGATTGCAATACCTTTTCATGATATGAGTGTATTCACAAATAGTTTCTGATAAGCATAATGTATAAATAGACTCTGAGTAAAAGAGGGGATGTTAAATATAAAGTTTATAGAGCAACAGAATCATTCAACTCAATTTCCTCATTTATCTTAAGCCTAAAGAGGTTAGATCATTTTCCAGCTGCCTAGAACACCTGTTCTTAGTGTTTGGTTTACTGAGGAAGGTCATGTATCAGTCTTGGGCTAAATACAAGCTCTGCTCAAGACAGTAACACCAAATGCCAAGCCCTGGCTCCTCTGGGAAGCCTGTAAATGTAGCTAGAATTTGCCATGAGAATTTTTTTTTAATCCTTGTTATTTTTTTGCCTGTTATGAAACCATTAGGTTTCCTCCTGTACCACAGATGCCTGTACATGCATGCTTCTGCTACACTGGCTTCTTTCTTTCTGTTCCTCCAGCCTTCCAAACCCAATCCTGCCTCGGGATCTTTGGAAGGCTTATTCTTAGAGGACAGTTCATCTATCTACAGTAAAAGAAACCTCTCAAGACAAACTCATTCCACATTTGTCCTAACCACAAGTATGTTCTAGCCACTAAAATAAAGGCTTGAGATTAGTTGTGAATACCAATCCTACAAGAAATTCATTTCTCTAATTCCATTGACTAGAAGAGACACTCAGCAGATTTGTCTAGTCTTTCTTCTAATATGAACGTGCACCTCTCTGTTGAGTTTTACAGAAAGTAAGCTGCAAGGCACATCCTGCCCCTTGGCCTTGTCCAATCATTCTCAGGCCTGGCTGAGTCATTCCTAGCTTTCAATTCAGCATGTCACAGGGACTCAGCCTCCTAACACCTGACAGGAACATCAGTGTCATTGTCCATGCCCTGTGTGTCTCGGCTGAATCCAAATTCCAAGACACCAAGTCTGGGTCACGGTCAGGGGACTTGTGAGGTACCCCCTAGTTCATTAGCAGACTTGTGAGTGTACACAGCCCTGTGCACATGGATGAAGAATCTGTACCACTGGAAGCAGCTCCCTGATATCCAAAACCAGCTTGCTAGCTGAGAGGTCAGCAGACACCTCATGTTTGTGCAGCGTTCAAAATATAGCATACTGAGGTCTGTGATCAATTGTACCTGGGGTGTTGGGGAGACATAAAAGGAATTAACTAGATAACTTTCACAGATCTCTTATAGTTCATAATGAAGATTTTTCTGGCTCGGAACTCAATTTATAAAAGCTATTTTCAAAATAATGAAGTTGTAAGAGGCAGTCAAAAAGCTGCTAGGTTACTCCTGCCTAAATATGGGTAATGGTACCCTGAAGGAAGCCTCTTGGTGTTCTGAGATATGGTGGCAATACAAAGGCGAGAATACCAAATCTCCAGGATAATGGTCTTACCTTTCACGCATGTGCTGACATCCTAGTCAATCACATGCCAGCTTTGAAATTTTGAGTAAATTCATGACCCCCCCTTCCCCCTTCCCTCTGTCTGTCTCTCTCTGTCTCGCTCAGCACTGAGACTGAACCAAGGCCTTCTGTATGCCAGGCAAGTACTCTAACACACCACACCACATACCTAAGCTGCTTGTGTTTGCTTTGTTTGTGAGACAGGTCTTGCTACCATTTTGCCCAGGCTGGCCTCATTCTGGTAATCCTCTTGCTTCTGCCTCCTCTGAGGCTGGGATTAGAGTTGGTGCACCTTCATTCCCAGAAACTTTAAATCCTTTTTACAACCGAATTTCTGATTGGAATAATGTGCATAACTCCATTCATATCTCCAGTGACTCGGGAAGTTAAATGAGATGAGAACCCCCTGCTGTGAAAAACAAGGCCTAAAGTCCTTGAACAGGTAACAATGGAACAGACTGACTACCTCGAACAACATGAGTGTGGTTTTAACTGATAAGACTACACAGTAACTGTTACAAACTTCCTATGAGGTTTCATTATTCCTATAATCAAAACAAAAAATACATTTTTCACTAGATAGCAACAAGTGATTTGTGTTTTTTTTATTAGTACTAGTCCTTTGATCCAAGAAGTGAAGCACAGTTAAATTACTTAGAAACAACTTTTGAAATTACTTAGAAACAACTTTCAAAAGTTGTTTCTAAGCTGTGTTAATGTACAAGAACAGCCTTTAGAATGTGTGATATATGTTCTGGGTTCCTAGCACAGAGCTCCTAAAAGATATATAGTAATACAGTGCAATAGTAATAGCAATTGGAGGGTCTTTTCCTCATATTTTGTGCTTAACCTTGTTTTTTTTGTTTGTTTGTTTGTCACAGAGACT